TATACAAGTTAAGTACAGTTAGCACAACAAATTTTATCTTTTTGTTTGATAGTGTTTCTGAATCGCGTAATTCTTGAAATTAGAGACTTTTTCAATAAGAGATATTATGGTTAAATGTGGTTGTGACACTTCCAATCGTGAATCAATCTAACATTTAGGGTTTTATCGTAAAAGTATTTTAAAGACCAGTTGATGTTTTAGTTAAGTTAACGATTTAACTAATATCACTATACATTCAAAACGTTTCAGATTCCTCAATAAATAAACTACATTTATATTGTAATACGAAGATTTGTGATTAAGAAACTATTAACTCAAAGTATTTAGTCTGACCAGACAAACGCGTGTTAGGGGTGCAGTGAACTTTTATATTTTCGTTATGTTTTATAACAACATACCATTCCTGTCACAAATATCTACTTATATGTAGTATATACCTTATAGAAATTCCTTTACTATCCCCAATTTTAATAACAAGAAACCTTAATTACCATTAAAATATATATAACAAAAATTTAATTGCTATTTATTAATGTATTCAAACGATTAAACATAAATGTCAGTCAATATAAAGCCATTTCAAATCAAACGAAAAAGTTATAAAAACGTTTTCCTCATTGTTTTAAAAGCTTTTAATTATTTCACGTTATCGGTATGCACGCTCTATTTGTGTATTAAAACATAATGAATTATACAAGTATATTTTATAGTCATTTAAATGAAACAATACAATACAAATCAAAATGCTCATTCATTTTTAAACACGTCATTTTACACGCAAATTCAAGTTTAATAATGAATCAAATGTTAATAGTTGAAATATTATGCATTAATAAACTGTCAAATATATTGGCACTAGTACATTTAGGTTCTTACTGCTGGTGTTAAGTTAAAAGTACAAAACTATAGTATAAGTCGGTTCGACGAATCGTTTCGGTTCCATAAAGATATTAAGATTTACTTTACACTACTTGTAATATTTTTTAATATAAGCATCCTTCACTCTCCCCTTTCGTAGTACCTCAAAGATACTATTAATATTTGGATCAAAGGAAAGAAGGAAATATTAATTCCATCTCGTGGTTAAAATCCTGTAAAATTATGATTTATGAGATACATACATCTTCTATATATATAAAAATGGATTGCTGTTCCTTAGTCTCGCTAAAACTCGAGAACGGCTGAACGGATTTATCTTATCTTAGTCTTGAAATGTTCGTGGAGATTCAGGGAAGGTATAAAAGGTGAGAAAAATTGGAATAATTGCCGGGAAAACCCTAAAAACAGCCCTTTTCTATTTCCCATACAAACGCTTTTTTGACATTAGATTTGACAACTAACTAATATGTCAATCATTCTGTTCGATTGAAACAGGAAAAACCTGATTATTTATGGCCTCTAAGACGGAATAGAGTTCCCCCGGTCAGCTATACATATATTACTAATGACGAAACTAACGCGGACGAAGTCGCGGGCAAAAACTAGTATTGCAATATTTTTATAACTGACATGTCTTTAATTTGTAAAGTTGTAATGTCAAAAAATAACAAGTTTAAAAAATTAAGGTAACTAAGGTAAAAAGTAATAGGAAAATAATTCATTCTTGTATATAATTTTTTCGTATGTATTATTTGTTTTTGGAAGATGTATATGGAATTCATATTTTTTTATTCATTCTCCATAAGATCTTAATTTAATTCCGTCATAAGAATGTTATTATAATAACCGTAGTCTTCAGTTGAAATTACGAAATAAAACTCTAATTATTTAATATATATTGTTATGAAAATGTATATTAAATCAGTAAATCTTACAGTGAATCAGTAAATAAATTTTTACTGTGGATCTAGTTTCTAAAGAATTAAATAAGAACATCAATTGTACAATTTATCGTGAGTTCAACGCACCCGCTCAAAAATGTTGTACTTACTGTTCTAAGAAATAAAACTACCATGTCATCGTTTTTAAAAATGGCGGAAATACGCAAAATGAAACACAAATAATAAGCAATAAGTATAGAAAAAATATAGTAAATTGATTGGCCGTGTTAAAATAATACGGTAAATTCATTACTAATGCTGTTTTAGTATGGAATTTAATTTTAACTTTTTATTATTGCAGACGAGTGCGTGATTGTTCGGCAGCGTTAGTGACTAAGACTTTGAATCGACACGACCGATAGCGTCTACAATTTAACATCAAACGATCAGTGATTAAGTTATATATTGAGGGTTATAATTCAGACTTAGGGTACAGAATAGTATAGGCATATGTTAAAATGGAAAACACTTTCTTCAGTGTTATGCAAATTGTGAATATTTAAATAAATTTAATAATATAGGCGTTTTATGTAGCAGTTCCATAGGTTCTAGTCATGAGGTAACGCAACTTCACACGTAATACATTTCTATATAAAGGTTTGTCTGATATACTTAATTGCTGTTAAGTAATTTTGAATTGTATGCAACATTACCTAAAAGTTACTTTACCTATATTTCAAGTTAAATTAACACACTACATACTGAATTTTTCTAAGCTTCTTGTTTTTACTAAAAATAATCTTCACAAATTATATTATCTAGGTATATTTAAAAAAATATATACGGGACTGGAATTTGACGGTTCAAACTTCTTTTCCTAATCAGAGTTCAGTTTATTATAATAATATTTTAATTGTTTGATTTGCTAATCAATCTCAGCATTAAACTAATTTAAAACGCTTAAAATTTATGTTTATGTTTTCGTTGAACCTCTACGTACATTTCTGTTACACCGTTAGTATGATAACGTGTCGTTTTGAATACAAATTTAAGTTTTGCATGACAAGGAAAATGTAACAGTATTCTATAGCTAAGACATTATAGAATATTCCTAATATTCACAGTTAGGGGAAAACGACAAGAAATATTCAAAGTATTAGTCTGAACTGTTTTGATAGTAACATTTCGAGTAATGCAAAATTATATGAACATTGAACTTGATGTCTTTTTGGAGAAGTATGACGAATTTATTGGTAGCAATGTAATGTTACTAATCTTTAGCTCTTGACTAATAATTATAAGGTTACTTATTTTAGAAGTATCATTATTATAAGTGAATCTGCTTCTTATTTAATCACAAATCATATTAAATTATACATTTTAAAAAGATTATATAGGGATTGCACAGTATCTCAGAAAAAGAGACAGACTTTATTCCATTTCTTATCAGAAATATATTTTAATATTAAACCTTTTTATTTGTGCAATAAAATCATAAATATTCCACTTAACACAGAGGCTTATCAACAAGTGTAATTTGTAGTGTTTTTAATATAAGTGCTTCGAAATGATCTATCACTTGTTTAGAGATCGGCGAGCATGATAAATAATTCATCTTTAGAAAATTGATTCGACGAAAGTTTCCAAGATCACGAGGTGGGCGCGATATTGTTTTTAAACGTTAATTTCATATTATTAAAATAACTAGATTTAAACACATGGTTAATAATAAACTTTTTTTAAAATAAGTATAACAGTTGCATGTTATACGTAATAAATTTTATAATTGTTTTTTCCTTATTTCTTTTTTTAGGTATACACTATATATTGATTCTTTGTTAAAAGAATAACAGTAATTATTGTGTACTTCCTCATTCATAATTTAATTCGAGTTTCTTTTATATATTTTTTTCAATTAATAGTATATTATATAATTCTTTAATTCAATTTCATATTAGGAGATCTTATGTCAACCTCTTTACCATACAGCTAATTTTCTTTAAGGCCTCGGCCTCGAGTTTTGCGGGCAGCGGAGCGGCAGCGGGAGCGGCAGGATCTTACGCGTATAATCAAATGGACCGACCCTCGAATACAGCGGTGCCCGCTGCCCGCTAGTTTGGAGAACAGTATGCGTTTCCGTGCCGCCGCCGCCGCCGCTCCGCTGCCCGCAAAATTCGAGGCCGAGGCCTAAAGGTGATAATATTCCATGAAATTAATTTGTTTTTATGTTTTATCAATTTAGCACGATATTTAAGTTTATTAAATAAAAACATTTCTTAAGAAACAGACCGACTAACAGACCGATATAGCTCATTTGATTAGATCATAAGGATCTTATTTCTCAGTAAATAAAGCCGTTAATGAGACTAGTAAAACTTTAAGTGATTATGTAGCTATGTTATTCAAACTCAAAATGTAATAACTCTGTGACGTTGATAAGTACTATAAAGTACAAAGTATCAACGTTTAATAAATAGCAAAATATTAATAAGTAACTGTGAGACTTTTATGGCTTTTACAAAGACTGAGATCGCGAGCCCAAGAACAAAACTGTATGGAGAATTGTTGCTCTTTCTAACAGTACTTGACAAATAATGATGAAGTGTACAGCGATATAAACTATACAGCAACCAAAATAAATCACAAGTTATAATTTATATCAGGAAATCCGTGTAATTCCCGCGAGATTATGGTATAACAGTTGTTTTGTGTGAAATCCCAAGATAAGTTCAGAGATCGCTGCCGTTTGATTATCATATCAATTGTTTCAACACACTTTATATTTCTCTCTGAGTTCAATTCAAAAGTTCACGCGGACGAAGTCGCGAAGAAATACTAGTTAAAATGTAGTTATGATCTATACCGCCTCTTAAATAATCATTTTATAGTTTAGGTGTTTAAAATTTATGTATTATTTATATGACAGTGATACCTATTACAAAACCTACATACAAAAGAACGTCATATAAGCTTTATGTTTTATTGTACTTTTTGGATAATTAAACGCAGTAAAGCAACATTATTCTACTATTTAAACATGACTTTGACAGTTCTTTTTTCGAGATATAGATTGTACTTATTGTTCCGTATATATAAAAAATATATTATTAAGTAAATAAGCTAAGTATAACTTTTTTGATTAGTATACTTCAGGGACAGTTAACGCAAAACATACAGTCGTCGCCAGACCTTTGTATTTTTAAGCTGTGCACGGTGACATTTGATTGTGTAAATTTTTACCTGCGTCCTTAAATATGAAGGCGAATAATATGATGCGTTCATTTTATAGAAGTCGCTCTGAAAAAAAGTTCAATTGTTTTGTTTTTAATTTAAATATATTTGAATTAAATATTGTTTATTCGATACAATATTTGTAGTAGACGGTTGTACTTAACACCTAAATAGTTTAGTACAAATTACATATTAGACGATTTGGGCATCGATTACATATTTTGTAAATAAATTATTTATTGGACAAATTTAAAATTAAATATAAAAAAACTTTTTTTATCACTGTCCAATTTAACATTAGTTGAAAGCCTGAAATGACATACATAGGTATATACTTAAAAACTCTAGTTACTTTTCTATGTATATTAAATTTTATTTATAATGGTACTAGTGTTAAACTTACATTGAAAAGGAGAATCTTTATAAAAGAATACAAAGTCATCTGTAGAAATAACAAATGATGTACCAGAAATATACATAAATACTTGCTGTTTGAATACATATTTATAATAAATTTGACATTTTAACATAATTTGTAATACATATAACTAATAATAATATATCTTACCTCCTGATAAAATACTCTTTTGTAGTTGTAGCTCAGGTTATATTGTTGATCTGCCACCATGAGGAGTATTGTGAATGGCAGTAAGAAGGCAGCAGCGGCCAGAAAAGCCACACACCTCCCCAGCCTCATCACACTCAGATTTCTTCTACTTATTTTTTTCATTTTATTGTGTTGTGCTTACTTACATTATCTGTTACGAAGATTTGAATTTAAATCATATCTATGTCTTATCAATACAAACATGAGAACGATCATTTAAATTATTTATAATCTAATTTAGCTTACAAGGTAAAGTTAATATATTAATACCCTCATCTCAAAGATTGGCGTTGAACAGCCATTAGAGTTGCATTTCGTATGATAATAGGGCCGGATCTCGGAAACCCTAATCGAGGTTTCCCTTTCAACCCTCAGGATAATTATTACTCATACTCCTACAGCCCAGGGCTACAATAAACCTGGAACAATTTCAAGTATCCAAGTTGCTACTTATAAGATAAGGAGTATGTTCGTTTGTTGTCTTTTTAATTAGTTATCAAAATATTTGTAAATATATAATTTTACTGCATGTTATTGTATTGTCATTGAATTTCTCCTAAACAGGCCTTTGGATGATTTGAATGATTTTTTATGAAATAAGGTGATATCCTTAATGGTTTAGATTCACAAATCAGATGGCGACAGGCGGTGTCATTTATGTAACTATATGTATTGTTTTGACTAATTTTATAAAATTCTCTCTAAATACAAATCTGATATTTACGGCGTCAGAGTCGCGGGTAAAAACTAGTGTATAAATCTGCTTGTTTACGACAACAAACCTAAACTTCTCTAATTATCTAATTCAACTTACGATCATACAAAAGAGTATGTTCTCAAAAAAAATTATGAAGGTAAGAATATTGCTCTTTTAAAAGTCGTATCAAAAAGCCTATTTACCCGAAAATTGGCAATCTCTTAAAAATTTAATTCCATTTTATAGCGATTTCTTTAACAGTCTATATTGCATGTAAATGGAACATTGTTCTTTTTAAGGGCTAAAGCCAATTGCTTTTTATAACCATGATGTAATAAAACGAATTATCTTTGAAGAATTCTTCACAAAGACTTATAGAACTCTTTGTGAAAATTTTTGCTTATTTAAAACCTGAACTGTCAATCATGTATGTAATATAATAAACTCAGTACTAGAAAATATTGATTTTGCGAAGGAAAAAATAATTTTAAACAAGATATTTTTGACTAAGTTTCCATAGTTTTAAAGACATCTTTGCCCGATGCTATATAAGTGTCGTATAATGTAATATATTAATTTAGATTTATTGTTATAGGTCAGCATATGTGTAATTAGCACGGCGATGTGTTTACCTGCCAAGATGTACGAAACTGATGACAGTTTAAACCGGTTATCGTGTTGCCATGCGTAAAAAAATGTCATAAAAAGTTCGCGGACTGCCTCTATATTCGTAAAATATATTTGTGACAAAAATTAAAATTTAAAATCCTTTTCGAAGCTAAGATGTAACATTTGTATGAGTATACAATTCTCAAGGTGATTTATACATATACAGGGTGACTGGTGAATTACTATCAATATTTAAGGAGAATACTCGGTACATGATTCTCATTCGAATTATGTAAAAAAATAGGCACTTAATTTTTGACAAAATTTCCGTATAAATAAATAAAGTGTTGACACGTTCCAAGTGTTCCAAGTGTGGTCGCGTGCGGCGGCGAGCTGATACAACACTACGCCGCCGTACGCGTATGTGTGAGTGTGTGTGTATACCTAATCTGTAGGGTGTTCACTCGCTGCCTAATTAATTAAATAACTTTTGGTTAAGTTTACTTAGAAGTTTATTAATATTTATGTTATATTAATTTTTATTTTGTCATATATGATCGTCAAATATCACGTCCTCAAGTATCGATAGTAATTCACCAGTCACCCTGAATAAATTTGTAATTATATTAGTTTGCTTTTTATACTAATAATAATAATGAGACTGACTGTTTTTTTATTGGCATTATATCAATTATTTGTATTGACATATTATACTTACTATATCAGTACGTATTTTTTTATCTATATGAATTAATAATTATTATTAGCCAGTATGTATTGTCCCCAATTTTATAAGGTCATAAAAAATGCCAAATAAAACGTCAAATCTGAATAATATGCTTCACATTTTGTAATTATTGTCAGTGATGAACGAATATAATCTGGTGATGATAGACGTACGAAATTCCTTAATATTTTCGTGTAGACATAGTTAGCAATTTATTTTAATTTCAAATGATAATAGCCGATAATAATTGGCAGAATTCCAGTAGGAAATATTCGGCTTACGCATTAAAATTGTATAATGGGTACTGCTATGCTCTATAATAACTAGTAAAAAATGATAAATATGCCAAAATATATAGGTCAAATGAAATAAAATGAATTCAACCAATAATCAAGAGAGATTCTCTTACTGCTTCTAAGAGCCAATTACAGCTTTTATATTTATTTCAGAGATAAAAGATTTCAGAGATAAAGCCTAAGAGAATTTAATTTTTAAATATCACTTATCTCGCTATTTCTAATTTTACTAAAGATATGAGGTTTTAGCAGTATAACAAGGTGTGTATCCTTTACGGCTTTTTATAATTATTACTTTATTTACTGACCCAACACGAGCCGTTATTCTGAAACGGGTAAATATTAAAATTTTCATACAGTTTGGCTTTAAATCTAAAAAATAAATCTTAAATGTGAGTTGCCAGTGATGTCAAATTAATATCAATATCTTACGTCTTAGTAATTTGTAATTAAATCACTGTTTTCCATAAAATTTATCTAGATTATAACAAATAAGTAAGTCAAGGAAATTACTAGTAGGATTTGCTTATGACGGACGAGGCAAACCAAAAGCAGTTATAATTATAATGTCCCTCAATAAAGATGGTTACTCTTTATAAGAAAAATGGAAGATCTCTTCTATATTGAGAAATCTTTACCATCACTGTAACATTTCAAACTTGATTTCTTAAGCGTGCTCATATAGGCTGTATTAATATTATCTAAATAGAATGTTATAAAGCATTAATTAAAAATTACAAGAGTAAACACATATGGAACATGAATGGACATGCTTACTACATTCTTCTTCTAACCTGGCAATTTACTATCTATGTTATAATTATCATTAATACACAGTTAATGAGATCTCATCTGCCCATGATCACGGTTGCTGAAAAGTAACCGAAACGTCGGGAGTATGTAGTTTTAACAATAATAAAATATACGTAGTATAATCCGAAAAATATTCGTTTTATTTACCTACTAAGTACACACTATTCTGTAAATTTCAAACTCTGAAGACATCCGAATAATAGTTAGTTTATTTTGATATATAATATAAATATAAAACAATATTTAAAGATTGCTTCATCATTTTGGAATTATGTACTCCTGATCAAAAAATTATTATTATACAGAGACGGTAACAATTAATGTTAATATAAAGATAAAAAAGAAAATATAAAAGATGTCTAAGTATATAAAAGATTAATGTTTTAGAAAAGATTACGATGTCGACAAAATTTATCACATGTGTTGAAAAAGGTTTCTCTTTGCTTTAGAGAAACTTTATGTTTCAAAATATGGCAAATAGCTTGCAGTTTATATCTTCTTAGTTAAAGCATATGATTATTAAGTATTTTTAAATTGCTTATAATATAAAATTAAATAAATTGAACTCGTTGAAAATTGTGTGTAGTAATTAAAGGGAATATAATAAATATTTTTTTATAGATATCATTTCATCATCTGTAAAGTTTGATTAAAAATTAGATCACAAAGTTTCCGAACTGCTATTCAATTGTGTTATTTGGGACAAGTCAGTTATTGTATTTCAAGGGCAATTTTATAGTTCATTGGAGCTATTAAACCCATTCATTCATTCGCTCTGCAACTCTGAAATATTCTATTTCCCATATAATTCTATACCCATTAATAATTTGTATTAAATGCAATGCAATTAAATTGACACGATTTCTGAAAAGAATATTAATATTTTATTTGTCTGCAAATATATATATAAATTAATTAATTTAACATACATTTGAAAGTGCTAATTAAGAGAGTTCAGATAAAAAATGCTAATTAACCTTGAGTGTGGAAGGTAATTATTTTTTATATATATTTTTAACAATTCGAAGTGCTACGTGTTGGTACGTGCTAACGATAAAAGTCAAGTGTGAATCGGGTTTGCCAAAATTTTTTGTACCCTGTATATAATTTGAACACAGTAGATACGTATATGCTCTAGATATAATATTATGTTAATGCTTTTAATCTGTTCTTTTATTACAAATCATGTTTATTATATAATAAATACAATTTACTTAGAATGTTTTAAAGAACTACTTTAATTTAATATCGAAATAGTGTGACTTGAAAGTATAATGTGCTTTAAAGAAAATTAATTCCGAATATTATCAGTTGTAATGAAGAACACAGTTTACTTTTAATTATCATGACTTACGGTCCAATATATAACCCATCTTTTGTAACGACGACGACGTAATATTTTAGATAAGATGACAATAAAAGTTATTTAAAAAACATTTTTTAGGAAAATGATTTTTAACTATTCAGTATCTTAACAAAGAGAATATGTTTTTATTTAAGACTTCTAAAAACCAGTTTATTCTTCATGTGAATAAGAGTATACCTATTAAATATATCACTTTTGCAATCTTGGATGTATGATAACATAACATACCTAAGTATACCGTTACATTCAAATAAAACTTGTATACAATATATAAAGTTAATGCATAGAAGAAATGCGACAAAGTTAAAACCGAAAAAACTTTGATAAGTTTGAAGTTAAAAAATACTGTTAAATACCTACATAATTAAATGTAAAATTATATTATAGCCAATATAGACGCCTTAGAAGGAACAAAAACTTTTAGTATATTTAGTAAATACTTAGAAAAATTATTTTATTCAGACATTTTCTTATGACTATTTAAATAGTAGAAAAATTCCACTTCGTGTAATACATTTTCCATATTAATTTAAATAGATAAATACGACATATAGTTGTAATATAATTAAATAATATATGATAAGTATGAAGTTGTTTAATGAACATCGCAACGAA